AAAAAAGAATATATACAGATGGTCAATAAGCTCATGAAAAGATGCTCAACATTACTGGTCAGAAGGGAAGTGAACAGAAGCACAATGATATACCAGTCCACTAGGAAGAAGACAGCAATAAAAAACAGAAAATGACAAAGCACTGGCAAGACTGTGGAGATTACATTCTGACCTTGCAGGTTGGAATATAAAATGATGGGATGCAGTCATTATGTACCATTTAGCACTATTTGTGCCAAAAATATTTTGGCAGTTTCTCAAAAAATCTAACTAAATGATATGACCCAGCAATTCCATCTACCCAAGAGAACAGAAAACAGGTATTCAAACAAAAACTTCCCCTTGAACATGAAGAGCAGCTATTCAGAACATCTAGAAATTCAAAACAATCCAAATGTCCATCATCTGATGCAGGCACAAACAAAATGCAGCCTCTGCATATCATGGAATATGATTCAGACATTAAGAAGGATGAAGCCTGAGAACAGTCTGCTAAGTCAAAGAGGCAAGACACAGAAAGACCACATAGTGAAACGTCTCCAATAGCCAAATACACAGAAATAGAAAGCATTAGTGGTTGCCAAGGGCTGGAGGAAAGGAGGGAGGATTTAGGAGTGAATGTTTTAATATACAGTTTCCTTTTTGTATCATGAAAATAACTCTGGAATTAGACAGTTACAATGGTTGTACAACACTGTCAATATTCTCAAAATTACTGAATTGTACATTTTTATTTAATATTTTATTTTTTAGTTTTAGTTGGACACAATATCTTTATTTTTATGTGGTGCTGAGAATCGAACCCAGTGCCTCGCGCATGCCAAGCGAGCGCTACCACTTGAGCCGCATCCTCAGCCCCTGAATTGCATACTTTTAATGGTTAAAATGGTAAATTTATCTTAACAAGAAATAAGAATCACTGATGAATTTGGCTTATAATGAACAGATTGCTAGACTCTATCCCTAGAGATTCTGACTCAGGAGATCTAAGACAAGCCCAGGTATGTGGATATTTTTAAAATCTCCCCAGGAATTCTATGAACCTCTGCTTTAGCCAATTCCTCAAGTGATTCCCCTCCCCCGGCTCCCTTTCTTCCTTCTGCACCAGGGATTTAACTTAGGGGTGCTTTACCACTGAGCAATATCTCCAGCCCTTTTTCTGATTTAAAAAAAAAAAAATTATATATATATATAAATTTTTTAAGTTATAGACAGACACAATACCTTTATTTTCATGTGCTGCTGAGGATCAAACCCAGTGTCTCATACTTGCAAGGCAAGTGCTCTACCACTGAGCCACAATCCCAGCCCCTCCCCCACCCCTTTCTTGAGACAGGGTCTTACATAGGTTCCTGGGGCTGGCCTTGAACTTGCAATCTTCCTGCCTTATTCTCCTGAGTGGCTTGGGATTACAGATGTATGCCACCATGCCTAGCCTCAAGTGGGTTTTAAATTGACTGAATTGCTCAACAATATTTACTAGGTATAGGTCCTGCTAGGTATCAAGGGATATAGCCATGAATAGAAAGTCCATCATGGCCTTTACCAGGGGAGAATAAAAAAGACATAAAATATAATCTGATTTTGAAAACTTTTCAGGGCTGAGGTGTAGCTCAGTGTAGAGTATTTTGCTTAGTTAGCATCTAAGAGGCTCTAACACACACATAAAAAGAAACAAACTTTCAACATATAACTCATTTTCTCTCTTTTTTTTTTTTGCCTAATGAACTTATTGAAATGGGAGGGGTTTTATTTATTTAAATTTGAAGAAATGTTAATATGTGTGTATTATTACATACAATCTTATTCTACATTTAACAATTTTATTTATTTATTTATTTTTGTTGCACATGGACACAATGCCTTCATTTTGTTTATTTTTATGTGGTGCTGAGGTTTGAACCCAGTGCCTCACACATGCTAGGCAAGCACTTTATCACTGAACCATAACTCTAGCTCAACTTAGATTTTTGGCGGTGCTGGGGATTGAGCCCAGAGCTTTGTGAATGAGAGGCAAACACGTACAACTGAGCTGTATCCCCAGCCCCTCTTTTTATTTTTTATTTTGAGAAAAAGTCTTGCTAAATTGCCCAGACTGGCCTTGATCTAGTGATCCTCTTGCCTCAACCTCCAAATAGCTGGGATCAGAGATATGGGCCACTACACTGGACCTCTTCTCTATATTCACATTCCTTTGTTGCTAAACCAAGTATCACTCTGTGCCAGCTACTAATTACAATGATAGAAGTGTCCTCACTGAAGAGGGGAGTCCCCTTTACTAAATGCACATATCAGGAAAGTCAGTGCTGCTGGAAAGTGTCACCTTGTCAACGGGTTCACAATTCTACAGGTGTCCTTGGAGGGCTTGCACATGGAGGCTCCCTTTCCAGACTCCACCACTGAGCTACACCTCAGCCCTGAAAATTATTAGCCCTCAATATTACTCTTTTCAATACCAAAAAAGTAGTAACTGACTCACCAGTTATTAAAGCACAAATGTGCTATAAAAACAGAGATCAGCTTACCTGGGCAAAAGCCAAATTCAGCACGGTTTCGGAGGCCAAGTACTGTAACCGATACTCCTTGGAAAGGGCCAGAGCCTGCAGCAGCACAGGCATCGCAATGGTAGGGGAGGAAGATCGCCAATACAGCTCTGCCACCGAAAGCAGGACACTACAGCAAAGAGGAAAACATGGGATGAGAAGATCCACCACACAATCTCCATGAAAGGCACAAGAGACTCCTTACCTGATCACCATTTCTGTGTTCTTTAATTTCTGACAGTATGTCAACAATTTTTGTAAAAGCTTGTGTGCCTCTGACATTTGGTTCTGAGCTTGTAGTACAACTGCTTTTCTGAAACAGAATCAAAATAAACACAAGTAGTTCTACTGATGCTTGCAAGTGTTTTAACTATAACCACTTCAGGGGTAAGACTCTATTTCCTCAGTTAGAGTGTAACCTCCCAAGGGGAAAACTGCCTATTTTAATTTTTTGTTCAAAGAAAAAAATACAAACAAAAAACCCTGTATGTGTGTATAAATGTATATGTGCAAGCATATACATGTATATGCATGCCAGAAAAAAGTTAAGAATTACAGTTATTGCAATATTAGTGACTATCTCTGGGACATACTTACTTTCATTTTGTTTATCAATTTTTAAATTTCTGTAAAAAAGTTTTTTCTTTAACTAAAGTAAATAAATCAACACACACAGAAAACAAAACTGCAGTAAAATTAAGCCATTTAAAAATTATTTTATTCTAGGATTAAAGTTTTCCAACTTTCTTACCTATATACACCTTCTATGCCATTAAGAGCTGTGATTCCTGTGACAAGTGAATCAGCCAAATGATATTTGCCATCATTCATTGCTCTGTCAAATTGTATTTTTTGATCACATAGCATCCATAACTAATAAGGAAAAAAGAATTAAGCATCAAATGACAAATGTTAACATTATTAGCCAATGAGGACACAAAAGTATTTTATAAGTATTTACTTAGCAAATATCCTTACTGTAATTCACACATATTCCCTTTTTTGAGATTAAAGTTTTATAATATTTCAAGCTTGCATGAAAGCATGAAGAACAAAATAACAAATATTTAACAAATATAATAATGTGCCACCAATTAACTTTATCAACTCACATATCGCTTTTATTAGCTCACGTATTTACTCCAACACTGTGACATACTATTGGAGTTCTTTGCAAATTCCATTTCCTCTCACTTTTTCAAGTAGCAAGCACTCAGTTCGGTGTCTGCTATTCCCATTCCTATTCTTTTATAACACATATACTTACCCTTAAACGCTCATAGTATAAGCCTGTATGTTTTTGTTTGTTTTGTGGTACCAGGGATACAACTCAGGGCCTTACGTACTGAGCCATATCCCCTGCCCTTTGTATTTTTTATTTTGAAACAGGGTCTCACTAAATTGTTCAGGTTGGCCTAGAACTTTCAATCCTCCTGCCTCAGTGCTGGGATTACAGGTGTGTGCCACCACACCTGGGGAGCCTGTATTTTTTTAAGCTTTGTACTAAAAATAAATAATATCACCCTGTATGTGTCCTTTAACAATTTCATTTTTAACTCAATATTATTTTTCTTTCTTTTTTTTTTTTCCTTTTAGGTACTGGGGATTGAACTCAGGGGCACTCAACCACAGAGCCATATCCCCAGCCCTATTTTGTATTTTATTTAGAGACAGAGTCCCACTCGAGTTTTTTAATGCCTCACTTTTACTGAGGCTGGCTTTGAACTCACGATCCTCCTGTCTCAGACTCCAGAGCTGCTGGGATTATAGGCATATGCCACTGCACCTAGCTCAATATTATTTTTCTGAGGGAACATTGTAAAATATCCTGCTTTTTGTTACAGTGGAAAAACATTGTTTTCAGAAGTAAACTCAAGATCATGATGGTTACCTGGGCATGTTGGGTATTAGGTGGGAATCGTTCCTTCAAGTGCTTTAATACTTCAGCAGCTGCGGCAAAACAGCCCTAAAATCAAAGGACAGGTTTTGATTCAGATGTGTTGAAACCACATCTGACCACCACAGGCAGGTCCACACGGTCCCTAACTCTTGACACAGCCAGCGAGAAGACACTAGGCAGACTGTGGAACTGCATTTCTAAGGGCTGTTCTTTTAAAGGTTCTAATGAATTTCGTTCATTTTCAAAAACGTTAAGAAAATTATCATGTAAGATATGTTTTTTTCTAGGAAAAAAATTACAAAACGTGTAAATAGTAAGAAAAGACAAATTACTTTTAATTCCATGAAAGCTAATCACAGTTCATGTTTTGGCATACATACCTCCTTCTATGCTTCTTTTACTCATATACATATTAAATACATAAATATTCCAAAAATACCTATCTATACATGTTATTTTTGTCAATTATGTATAACACTACCAACATGGTAGTCACTCAATAAAAATTTTTTAATAAATTAATCTTTCCAGTGTCCATAAATGAAACCTGTACCACCATAATATATTATTAGGCAAATTAATTGTGGTACATCAAAATAACCTTTTAGGTTTGGATATTTTGGTTGCTTTTAATTTTTCCATTTAAAAAAATATTATAATGAATATCTTGATGCCCAGTTTGCATGATGTCCAATTATTTCCTTAGAATTAAACCAGAGAAGTAGAAATGATGGGCATTTTTAAGTTCTTTGATATAGGTTAGTAATTACCCTCTACAGCCGCACCAGTATTTTTGTAGCAGCATCCTATCCCTTCTTCCCCCCTAATAGTTTTGCATCTTGGCCTGATACTGAAAACTACTATTCCATTGTTTAATTCTTCCACAACTAGGCTGAAATTGATTTTTGGTCATTTAGGCCATTTATGCTTTTTCTGTGAATACTATTCATATTATTTTTATACTCATATACTATCAAACCCCAACTCTTATTAGGTAATGCACATGTTGTAAGTGGAAATTATACTGAATTACAATAAAGATCGTTAATATTTGTTCTTATGATTTTAACTGGCCAATCTTTTGTTTTGGTAGTAACGGGGATTGAACCAGGGCTGCTCTCCCACTGAGTACAATCCCAACCAGTGTTATTTTGACACAGGGTCTCACTAAGTTGCCCAGGCTGGCTTTGAACTTGCAACCATCCTGCCTTAGCCTGTGGTGGGATGACAGATGTGCTATCACGCTGGTCTTAATTGGCCAACCTCGCAACGTATTTTCATGACTGTCACAGTGAGCTAAACATATGGATAGATACAGGCCAAGCAGAGACACCCTTAAATTGTATACCCAAAACACTCCCATTGTGCCCTGTTACACCCAAGGCTAAGAGAGGACCCAGAACTACTCAGAGAACACAAAAGGGGCTGGCAACCTTAGAAAAAGAACTAACTCTACTCCCTCTGGGTTGCAGCAGGGAGCTCCACGAGCAGTTCAGAGTCCCTAACTAGTTCTTTTTTTTTTTTAATATTTATTTTTTAGTTGTAGTTGGACACAATATCTTTATTTTATTTTTATGTGGTGCTGAAGATTGAACCCAAGGCCTCGCACGTGCTAGGCAAGCGCTCTACCACTGAGCCACAATCCCAGCCCCCAGAGTCCCTCATGTCTTTACAGGTTCTACCCAAGCACTGCCACACCAAAAACAGTGCAGCATCTAGTTTATTTGGAGTTCAGTTTAAAAAGCAGACAAAGGAAATGAAACACAGACTCATCATAAAGCTGCCTTCTCCACAGTAGGCAAAGCTTAATTTCACAGGTGCAAGTCTAACCTGTATAATTAAAAATGTGACAGTCATCAACCCAGGGAGTATATTCACATGCTTCATGTTCTAAAACTAGAAAAGTCTTTCTAAAGCAGGCAGGAGAAGGGGAGAAAAGGACAAGTCTTGAAACAACACTTTAAAGGCGAATTAAATGGCATTGAACTATATCTCAATAGAGCTGTAGATAAAGTCACAGGAGGCTCATGCTAAACATCTGAGTGTTCACTGACTCCCTCATTAACAAGTGCTCCACTTACCCAGGACACAGAATGAAAAACAGTGGTACTGAAAGTTCCAATGCCATTAAGAAGGAAAAAACAAGATGTGGACATGAAACATTCCTGGGGGAAAGTGAACAGCAAGCATTGCTGGTCTGCTCTTTTGACCTGGTATTGCCCAAGATGTGTGGGCACAGGAACAGGAAGGAAGTAGTCCAAGGGCACAGTGGCATCCAAGAGCCAGAGCCCAGCTACTGAAAGGACTAAAGTGCTAAAATGTGCTCAGCAGAGGGGAAGTGTTTCCAGACTTCTGAAAGGGGTGGAAACCACCCTTCAGTCTTCACACTGGGATGAAGGAATACTGAGCATTATGAAACAATCTAACAATAATGTACACCACAAAACTATCAAGAAAAATAATGTGATCAAGGAAATGTACTTATAGACATAGTATGTTCAGTGAGATGGAACATACACTAAGATGCAGGCTTCCCGATCTCTCTCTAATCACCCCCAAAAAATTTTCACCACAGGGAAATTTGCTAGAGCAGCATGAGAGATGCTATAATTCATCCCTTTTAAAGAGAATCAAATAAAAGGAGTCGGGCTCTAAGTCAAGGTTATGCTCAATTGATACCACTCCTCTCTGGGGTCAACCAGACTTGACTGGAGACAGGACTGACACATACTGGTAGCTGGCATTGAGCCAGCTCTCTGGACCTCAATCTCTTGTTCTGTGAAACAGGGGTAATGATAAAGCTGACTTCATGGGCTGGGGCTCAGTGATAGAGTGCTAGCCTCGCATGTATGATGTACCAGGTTCGACTCTCAGCACTACATAAAAATAAATAAATAAATGGTGTCCAGCTACAACTTAAAAAAAAAAAATTGCTGACCTCATGAAGCTACTAGAAGGTTCTGTAAGATAATACATAAAATAACAAAGCACTGGCCTGGCACAGAACAAATGTGAACAAACATTAGCTATTATCATTTTAGCTATCCATTCATTAGTCTCTTCCCCTTTCATTTAAACACAAACCTGTACTTCACATTTTAATGATTCCTTTTTGTTCTATTTTTTTTAATGGAACTAGCCAACCTCTTACTTCCTATACTAATGTCAAAAAAAGATCCCAACTTCAACACATCTTGCAGACTCCAGCTTTAAATCTTTTTCCATAAGTGGGATTTCACTTGACTCACTACACCGAGACCCATTCAAGACACATGCAGTGATTTTTTTAAGCACTAAGGGAGAGAAGTGGCAGATCCTCCAGTACTCCAGAAGCATACTGACCTTACCACCTGTGCTACAATATGGACGTGAAATGTCCCCCAAAGGCCTATATGTTAAGAGGCTTGGTTCCCAGCCTGTAGTGCTGTTGGGAGGTGGCAGAACCTTTAGAAAATGGAGCCTAGTGGAAGGAAGTTAGGTCATTGGAGGCATACCCCTGAATGCAACATTTGGACCCACACCCGTCTGTCTCTTGGCTTCTCAGCTGCCATGAGGTAAGGTATATAGACTCCTCCGTTGTGTTTCCACCTTGATGTATGGGGCTACTACAGGCCCAAAGAAATAGGGCCAAGTGACCATGGGCTAACCTCTGAAGCCATGAATCAAAATAAATCTTCCCTTCTTTTAAGTTGATTATCTCAGGTATTTTATCACAGAGACAAAAAGCTAACCCAATCTGCCTACCTGCTCTGCGTGTAGCTCTGCAAGATGACAGAGCGCGACAGCAAAGGACTCTGTGTTGTTCTGCTGCACTCCGGAATTCACTGACTCCAGGCTATTCATGCTCAGCAACATCTGGGCTTGCTGCAGTGCCATAGTGCTGGGTGAGGAGAGGGAACAGGATTTCCCTTCAGACAACAGGCCCAGACTACCCCTTGGCCATAACCTACAGTTATCTTAAGTGGAAACACAAGGAAATTAACCCCTCTGCAGGCTCAGGCCATGTAGAAGCAACTACCTCCCAACACCAACTCTCCGGCCCTTAAGTCAAGGAGAGCAGAAAAGTATCCTAGATGTAAGGCCCCCAGGAAATGTGGAGTGGTTACAGCAGAGCTGGGAGCTCCAAGTTCCCAGATCCCCCGCCCCCTACCTCCCCACCCTCAATTTCCCCTGAGGTCACAGAATGCTAATTAGGTTTCACGGGTAAATGCAGACCCGATGCCATCCTGGCACCGGCTGCTCTGGCAATGCAAGCAGTGGCCAGTGTCGGCAGCTGTTTCAGAGCACGCCGTGCCAAAAAATTATCTGAAATACAAAAACAAGACTGGTAAAAGAGGCACTTCCTTTTATTACTGAATTCCTAGAAATAGCAGATTGTCTAGGTAAAAGGCAAGATAGTGACAGGGCTCCAGGGTTACAATCTAGTTAAGTTTACTTCCAAGCTAAAGGTGGCTAAGTGGAAGAGGAAAAACATGAGGCTAGAAACATTCCAGACAAAACACCTTGGGTAACAGAATAGGTGCAAGGAATGAAGGACGCTCAACTTGCGGGAGGAAGGCCATGCAACCTACAAACTAGAAGAGAGGTTCTTGTTGCAAAGCAAAGGACTAAACGCTTGGGATCAGAAGATCTGTGTTTGAGACACTGGTCAACTACATTTGAGATCTTGGGAAAATGTGAACCAGAAGGAGATCACCCATCAGTTATTCACAGAGCAGTTGGCAGGAGTAAATAATGTGCATGGGGAAAAAAACCTTGCAAAGGTCGTGCAAACTACAAAATGTTTTCAGATTTCAAAGCATTTTATCTAATCCCCTGCATGAACAACTTCCAAAGGTGGTTAAAAAAAACCTTGTATGTCTGGCCTTTCATAGAACCAGTGTGCTAGCTCCTGCTAACCTAGATTCCTGTGAATCTGAAGGATTCACACCACCAAGGTCTTGGCAATGTGCCTAAAAACCTACCTGCGGCCATAAAGTCTCCAGATGGCCGTTTTCTGGGCGATGCTGATATCGATGAGCTCCGACAGGCTGTGTTTCCAGTGCAGGAGGTCAGAGTCCTTTAGGGCATCCATCAGTTTGTTGGCCGTCTTCCCAGCAAAAGCTCTCTGTTGAACAAGGGACTGTATTCCCAGGGAGGCGAGGTACTAAGGGGACAGATATACCCACGACCCAAGATAGAGATTACATGACAGAATTTGCTTTGCTCTTCAGAAATGTGGTGGATTTCACATTTCAGCACATGCACAGTGATAGCTCTACTTAAAAGGAAAGTACCTACAACCTGACCTTAACCCTGACCCATGTGAGATGTGTTGCTGAAAAACTAAGGCTGGAAGAGAAGCAGAGGATACACAGGAAAGAGCCAGGGCTTTGGCATTAGGTGAACCTGGACTTAATCACTGCCTCTGCTACTTACTGTGTGACTTAGGGCCAGTCACTTAGCTTCTTAGCTAAGCCTCAGCTTCCTCATCTGTAAAATGGGCATCAAACCTATCATAAAGAATTGTTGTAAGGATTACAATGAAATAATATGTCAAACAGTGCGGGGCACATTAGGTTATAGGAGATCAAAAGAGGATGCCTATCAAGAGCAACAAATTATCTTCTCATTATCTACTAGTATAATCTTCAAGGATGAAAGCTCAACTAGAAAGAGTCAGCTTAAATCCATAGCAAAAATTGAACTTAAGAAATCTATCATTTATTTCAAGGAGCCACTTCATTTCTAGCATGTTAAGTTTCCTTTCTGAGAAGTAAATCACATGGATGATTTACAGACTTAAGAAGCATGTGCGCTAAATGACTGCACATAACCACTTTCGTTTTTACTGAAGATTCTAAGACAGAAGCTTAAACAGTTCTACTTCCTATGATCCAGTGTGTGGTAAATGTTTCTGAGAGAGACTAAGGTTCTTCAAGCAACAGTAATCTCAACTTTCAGTCATTACTACCTCCTGGAAACAGACTATGACCTAGTAATGCCCTCAGTATAGGTCACTGAGGACTATAATTCAGGTCCTTTCCCGTCACTCAAAATGAGAAAGGACAAATTTGCCTGTCAGGTTTACTGGTTCTTGGATTTGAATATGGTTTAAAACAAGGATCAGCAAACTTGTTCTAAAGGATTAGAAAGCAAATAATTTAAGTTTTGCAGGCCATATTTGGTTCCTCTTACATAATTTGCTATGTCTTTTACTCCACAACCATTTAAAAATGTAAAACCCATTCTTAACTTGAAGGCAATACATAAGCAGGCAGAACACCATATCTGGCCAACAGGCTGTAGAGTTTGCCAACCCCTGGTTTAAAAATAAAGACATCCTGGACTGGGGATATTGATAAATGCTTGCCTAGCACTTGTGAGGCCCTGGGTTTGATCCCCAGCACCACTAAAAAACACCTTTCCTAAAAATCTTCCTAAGTGTCTAGGTGCTAAGTAAATGTTGCTCAATAAACTAAACAAAGATCTCTTAACAAAGCAATAGAGCTTCCACAGATGATGTTAATAAAAGGAACAGAGAGAAACCTACCAAACAGAATTTAGTAGTTTGATTAATAGTTAAAGTCAGAGAAAACTACCACGTCATAATACCCGTCCTAACCCTATCACTGGTTCATGACAAAGGTGGGTGGAAAAGAGACAAAGGCTCAACACCACTTATTTAAACAATCTCACAGAAAGATGAGCCTTACCGGTAACCCAAAATGTACTGCTTTCTTCACAGAATGCTCCAGCAGAACATAGCTATCGGATCTCTTCTGCCCCAGCACATAAAGCCAGCTCTGGCAAGAGACAATCACCAAATTATATCATAACATGGCTAATGTTCTAGTGAAATATCAATATGGTCACAAGAATTAAAAAGGGAAAAAATAATCCCCCTAAAATACTATCACAAATTATTATCCTAAATGAAACCTATCAAACTGAAATAAACAAGTCACAGCTTCCTTTGATAGTGGCTGAGTGGCAGGTGTTTCAGAGAAAAGCACAAAGTCCCCAAGTGGCCTTTGAGAAATGAGATTCTCAGGTGATCCTCAAATGACTTCTGCTATTCTAGCTGTATTTCATGATTATATTTACAGAAATGTCTCACCCAGTTACTAGGTGTAACATACATCTTTTTGTTAATGCCAACATTAAATGTTAATGCCAACATTAAATGTGATAGTTGATATTTACTTTTATTATGGTAAGTTGCATTAAAATATGAAGACAGGAAATGCCCCCAAAGCAGAAAAGGTAAACAAACATGGGTTGCCCTTTCTGAACCTCCCACCACCAAAGAAGTTTCCCTTCATTACTGAAGAACTTTGCTCCAACTGCAAAACAACTTGGTTCAAACGAGGCCTTTGGAAGGCCACCTCGACCCATGAGCAAAATCCCAAGACCAGAGGACGGCCTCACCAAACAGTGCTGGAGACACACGTGATCGTTGGACTCCTGGGCAATCCTAATTGCCTCCTGCAGGGCGAGCTCTGCCTGTTGACTAATGACAGACTAAACATTAATAACCATTAACAATTACAAACATGTGCAAACATCGGTAGCAGGAAATCATCTGTACACAAGTCATTGGAGAGCAGGACTCTGGGCTGGAAGTTATGACTAAGTCATTTTACGGTTGGTTCTCTCGGAGGCGTGCCCCAACCTCTGCAGCAGGAAACACCAACAGCAGAGATATAAAACATGTGCCTTCTAAAGTGAATGTCTACTAAAAAGGGAATGAAGAGATGGCTTTTATGTCTGTTTCTGAGATGTTTCAGTTGTCAGCCACTGAGAGGAGAGGCAAGGAGAGGGGTAATATTTTACTTTTCACTGCATTCCTTTCTGCATTGTTTTATTTTTTTTTTAATATGTGCATTTGTTGCTTTTATTATTTTTTCAAAATTAGTTTTTAGAAGTGTTTTGAGGATTCCCCCCACTTTTCTTTTTTTTAATTGTTGATAGGCTGTTTATTTTATTATTTATTTATATAATTTATCTCAATTTCTGTGGACGTCTAGCCAGCTATTCTCAGTTCTGCTGAGCACTCACTTCTGGAAACACCCTGTGTGTTTCATTAAATATTACTATGTACTACCTTCTACTTACTAAACCTGTATTAATTTTATTTCATCAACCACTTTATAAACCTCTAGATGGTAAAAGCCACATCTTAAATTTTGGCCTTCCCAATGGCAAATTAACAGAATAGAAGCTTTAAAAACACCAGGTTACTAAAGATCTAAAAATAGGACCAGAAATTCTTGGGTGTCACTTACTTAAGGAAAAACATATACAATAAACTTTCTTCCAACATTAGCAATAGCCTCACATGAGTAATCTGAATTGGGTAGTGCTGAATTTTTTTCCCCCTCAATAATTGTTTGTTCAAATAAAGAAACCAAGCAAGGGCCTGTGGCACATGCCTATAATCCCAATGATTCAGGAGACTAAGGCAGGAGGATTGCAAATTTGAGACCAACCTGGGAAACTTAAAGACACCCTGTCTCCAAAAAAAAAAAAAAAAAAAAGAGGAGCCAGGTGTAGTGGCACACACCTGAAAGAGGCTGAGATAGGAGAATCACGAGTTTAAAGCCAGCCTCAGCAATGGCGAGGCGCTACGCAACTCAGTGAGACCCTGTCTCTAAATGAAATACAAAACAGAGATGGGGATGTGGCTCAGTGGTTGAGTATCCCTGAGTTCAATCCCCAGTACCAAAGGAAAAAAGAGGAAACCAGATACATTTTACCTACTTTGCCCTTCTTTTAAATCCCTTTTAATGTTGCTCTAGAACATAAGCTATTTAAAGGCAAGAAGCATAACTGTACATATAAGTCCTTCACAAATATCAGTTGATTTAACTTCATGGAAAATTGATAATCAAATAATGTTATGCTTAGGGGGTGAAAACACTTTAGGAGAATTATACAGATAGTATTCTAAAACTGGCCTAAAAAGAGATATTTTTTCCAAGACAGGAAGAAAATGTAGATTTACAACACAGAAAAGTCAAGAAAGTCAAGACAAATCCTAAAGGGATCTTCTTGTTTTCCATTGCTGTTAATCAAAAAATCCTAATAAGAGTTTTCAGTGAAAGAGAAGAGACAAATTGGTTACAATATCTGAAATGAATGAGGTGTCTGCTATTTTCCAAATGCCAGAGCAGACAGGTCTGTAGCCTCTGAACAAGGGCTTTCTGTGTCACTTAGAGTTAAAGGCAAAGTCCTCACCTGGCTTCTAGGACTGCTCTGATCCTGCCAGCTCCCTAACATATTCCCCTCCTCCTCACTTACAGGATTCCAAACACACTGTTTGCTCCTCAAATGTGCCACATAAACCCTGCCTCAGGGCCTTTACACATGCTCTTCTCACTGACATGAACATTATCTCCACCACAGAGCATTCAACTCCCATAAATCCTTTAAACCTCTGTTCAAATGTTAGGTCGGCAGAGATCAGAGAAAGCTGAGCTGCTACCTGTTTATAGTGTCCATCTCCTTTATGATAAGCTCCACAACAGGTTGGTTCATTTCTCACTTCTATATCCTTAGGAGCTGAACTGTGCCTAGTGCATGGTAGATGCTCCACAAATAAAGATCAAGATTTTCAAGAAATCTCCACAATTATTTTAGTCAAATGACACAGATTTATACAGGATCACAGATACAGGAAGGCGGGGGGGAATGCCTGGACATGAGTAAACTGAGAAGAATGACACGTTAATAAAAACCCTCTGCCAGGCATGGTGACACACGCCTGTAATGCCAGCAGCTCAGGAAGATCTTGAGTTCAAAGCCAGCCTCAGCAAAAGCAAGGTGGTATGCAACTCAGTGAGACTCTGTCTCTAAATAAAACACAAAATAGGGCTAGGGTGTGGCTCAGTGGTTGAGTACTCCTAAATCCAATCCCTGGTACCCACCCCCAATAAATAAATAAATAAATAAATAAATCCCTCCTTTTCTCACTTGGATTCATCCAATTTTAGCTGTCTATCCACTGACAATATTGTAAACACAAAGAAATTCTGCAGACCAAAAGTTTATTTGTATCTAAGAGGCTGTATACAAATTTCTTTTAAAATTTTTAGTTGTTGATGGACCTTTATTTTATTCATTTATTTATATGTGGTGCTGAGAATTGAATCCAGTGCCTCACACATGCAAGGTCCAGTGCTCTACCACTGAGCCACAACTCCAGCCCTGTATACAGATTTCTGAACACCAGCAAAAGCTTTATGTATTTATTTTTGGATACTGGGGATTAAACTCAGAAATGATTTACAGCTAAGCTATATTATCAGCCCTTTTTTATTTTAAAACAGGATCACACTAAACTGCTAAGGGTCTTTGTCAGTAGTCAATTTGAATTTTCCTGTTTGAGTCTCCCAAGTCACTGGGATTACAGGCATGATGCATGTGACAGGAAAGCAGTTTTTAACACAACTACTGGTGCCAAGTGTAGTGGCACTTGTCTGTAATCTCAGTAGCTT